AACATTATTGATAAACTCCTTCACACATTCTGTAAATTTGTTGTAATTACTTTTTTTCACGTGCCTATTGTCTTCTTTGCAGTTAATTTTGTGTTACCCCTGTTGAACTTTTTTTTCTTAATATCAGCAAGAGATAAGTAGTGCTGTGGTATGTATTTAAGCAATGATAATTTATATATTAAGACTAATCTATGCATATCGATTGCTCCCAATGAATGAATTAGTCCATTTTTTTCTATAAAAAATATGGAAAAAAATAATTTAATTAAAAATATTTATGTCTGTGCAAATAAAAGATTCTGGGAGTCCTTGGTTTCTATTATTCACCTTTCAAGATCTGTAGTATCTTGCACTTCACATCAAATAATGAAGCTAGTATTGTTAAGCAGTTCAGTTCATTGTCAATTTATTGTGTACATGTATTGTACTTGTTGGCGGGTCAGTATTGTTCTCATGTTTCAGTGTATAATAAACTAATTTACATAAATAAATAAGTTTAATACTATACATATAGTTTAAACATATATATTTCTGGCTTTCTTCAAAATAATTATAAATACTGGCAATTATGTTTCAGCGTAGATATTTTCTTTTACTTTTATGATTATGATTCGTCAATTACGTGAAGACATCTACATTTCTATTGTCTAGGCTATCCGTAATGCGGCTCATCCCGGATAGCCTAGAAAAAATAAACTCTGTCCGCGGAAGCCTACTCTTGTAAATGCAAGAAGTGAAAATAAATTATAACACAGTAACAACAATTCATATTTATTTTACTTGTGTTGATATTAAAATTAATGAAAAAGTAGAAATTGTTTGGTGGTTTCACCTTCAATAAGAGTGAGGCAAGTTGTGAGTGAAGGAAGAATGCTTGGGCAAGAAATGGTTAATCACAATTTGTGTACACACGCACAATCGTGGATGATGCATGAGTAAGAGTCTAATGTGCCAATTTAAATGGATTCTAGAGCATACTTCATATCAGTTTTGATAATTTCTTCTTAATCTTACAGATTCAAAAAAAAAGTTGAAGTATTTCTATTTATTCAAACAATTTCAAACTAATAACTAATTTATTTGTTTTTGAAATACATTAATTAGTTAATATTTCAAGGTTTTAGCACAGGACTCAAAACAATAATAATTTCAGCAAATGTTGAAAATTTAAAAAGTTGATATCAATGTTATGTATCACTTAACTAATACCCCCTTACCGCTATGTAATGCTGCCTCAGACATCCTCCCCCCTCTTTAGCGTTACTTAATTTATGGATGACCCTTAAGTGTCCTTTACGCTATCTGATAAAGTTAAATAATAATAATAATAATAATAATAATAATAATAATAATAATAATAATAATAATAATAATAATAATAATAATAATAATCATCATAATAATAATAATACATGTCAATTTTGTTAGCAACTACATACAATTTAACAATATTAGTACATTCTATATTTAAAACGTGAAATTGTGAGGGGGAGGAGGAGGCGGCAAGTTTTGACCAGTTTTTTTTCTTTTTTCTTCTTTCTTCTTTCAATTTATACACGTAGTCCTACTGCAGCACCTAATGCGTGTAGCGAATCCAGAGAGAAACAGAATTTTTGTTGTTGTTGTTTTTTCAGGCATTCTCCTTCTACTTCACAGGATGTGATATGTCAGTTCTTTTTTCTTTGCTTCAGCTCGAAACAGTTAACATGAAACAGAAAGTGTAACGGGGATAAGAAATTCTATTTTATTTATATTTTTTTAAGGGATGGTAATTTTTAATCGTGTACACTGTATGAACATGTTTGTTAACAGAAAGCTTTCATTTTACTTTAAATATATGTATTGTGTTTATACTTGCCTATGTTAAATTGCTGTTTGGTGTGTCAAGTGTAATGCCATTAATTAGGGTACTTTTTTCATAAAGTGTATTCAGAGTGGGGACATGTAGGTTACTTTTTGACAGGTGTAGTTGTGTACATCAGAATTTAAAGTAAAAGTGTCTTTGTTTTTCCATGAGAATTTTCTCTGTGAAAACACTATTTCAAATATATAGATGCATGGTAGAGGAAGAATCTCAGTTTATTGAACAAGGGTTTGCAAGACTCTCCAGCTTATGAGTGCTGGTCATTGTTCCAATATTCTTTTTGGAATAATAAATGTGCGAGTGCTTTCAGGGATTTCCCAGAATATTATTCCATATTTTAGGTGTGAGTGCACATTTGCAAAATACATTGTTCGAAGTGTTTCAATGTTGGAACTTGACCTGAAGGTGTATAGTGCATAGCAAGATTTGGTGAGCTTCTTGTTAAGATTTCAGATGTGAGCATTCCATTTTAGGTTTTCTTGAATTGATAGACCGAGGAAGGTAGTTTCATGAGATATCGTTACAGGGTTACAATAAAAAAAGTTTGATATTTTGAGAAAATTTTGAAAATGTTGGGGCTTCGTGTACAGTAGCCTCAAAAATTAAAATTGCTTCTGAAACTCAAAGAGCCTCGAATTCGTTGAAATCGATCGGAGAATATCAATTTTGGTGAAATAAGCTTAACTGTTTAGCATGTGTCACGGAGAGACAGTCGGACCGACAGATCGAAAGATGTTTTACCGTCAGTCGATTTTTCAGGAGCCACAAAACATGGATTCTGGCTACACGTGTTGTTGTGTGGAGGAAGTAAATTACTATATATAGGAACAAGATTTATCAAGTTTTTCGTTATAAGGACCCGTCAATAAGAGTTTTTCTATTGAAAATTCGCGGTTTTTCGACGCACGATTTCAATATTTTCTCTTGTTAAATTTGTAAGGGCGAGGAAGTAAAATCCTGTGTCAAATTTAAATGGCGCCATCAGCCAGATCGATCGGCGAATATCAGTTATGGCGAAAATCCTACCTTCAGGTTTAGCCGCCAGTGTTATTCACAGACGACGCTAACCAATAATTAGGTATCGATCATCCGCAAAAAAGGAACTCTAACCACATAGCGTGTTAGAGTATGTAAATTAGAACAATTCACTTTACAATCAATTCAATTCACTTTAGTATCTGGGCACCCACAATAGGAAATTTTCTCTAGGAAAATGTTTGCTGCTGTACTAGAAAACGTTTTTTACTGTAAAAGTAGTATGCAAGAAAGTGAGTGTTTTGGCAATCGTTCTGCCTATTCATCCGCCTGTGAACTATACTTGCGCTTATACCATACACAGGATTTTCACTAAAATCGGTATTTCCTGATCCAAACTCCATTCCTGGGATTTAAACGGATATTTAATTTTAGGAGACACTTTGAAGTCGCAACGACATTTTCAAAATTTCCCCTAAAAGTGGTTCAAAATGTGTTTCTCGATTAGAGCATAGCACGCTTATAAAAATGGTTAACTGCCTCAGAGATCTCTCAAGGATCTTCATAGTTTCCTATTTTGGCATTATTAAATGTGAGGAACCCATCAATGAGGTATAGCCTACCAGAGAATGATCTGGAAGATATTCTCGGAACTTCGACAGAAAAGGGCAAACATTGTATGTTACACTTGTGGCAGTGGCCACGGCAATGCTTCGCTACATAGCAATAATGTAATAAAACAGTATAAGTATTTATACAGCAGCTCCGTGTTAAATGCCCTATGGCATGGTGACGTGTTGGTCACCGACTAGCGATCCTTGCGGCGATCAAGGAGTACTACACCGCTTTAGAATTCGTAATACATGTTGTCTATTGAAAGTGAATAGTGGAATCATTAGGAAGAACAAGTATACCTATACTGATTTGAAAATATCTAGACATGTAAGGAATCTTAGGTAGTAAATAAGGACATCTAGGAGGTAACATCAAATTTCCTTGTTATCTTTTTAGGTCTATTAGACAAGTAAAAAACAACATAACTCAGAGTTCTTTCCTGCATTATTGCTGCATTTACTCGTAATTGCATAACTTTGTGCTCCTTTTGTCGCAGTGTTATCAATATGTTAACTGGAAAAGTATAAGAATTCAGTTGGTGCATGTCAAACGTTGGTTGGAAGTAATTTTAAGCGTTTTTTAATGACTTGCCTTTGAAATCATAAGAATGTAACACAACGAGGACCAGAAATAATACGAATTTTCTTTTACATTTTTTCCCGACTCTTAATAAACGCAATTTCACAAACAAACCCACATGTTTCAGTGGCAGCTGTTCGTATTTTAACTTGACCTCCGCCAGGATTGCTAGCTGTATGCGCGCGCATCACTAACTAGCCAAAAACGGCCTGAGCTGCGCTACTGTATAAATACGTGTACCGTGGTATTCTACTTCTCATTGCTACTGGTCACTTGATTGTTAATCACGTTTTACGCTACGCTCTGCAAACTTTTCTATAGACGAAAGACGTTCTCGCGAGTGTGGTTCCGTCTCTCTCTCTCTCTCTCTCTCTCTCTCTCTCCTCTCTCTGTTTCCCTCTGTATCTCTGTTTCCCTCTGTATCTCTCTCTCTGTTTCCCTCTGTATCTCTCTTTCTCTCTCTGTTTCCCTCTGTATCTCTCTCTCTGTTTCCCTCTGTATCTCTCTCCCTGGGAGAAATTCCACAATCGCAGGGACAATATGCAATGAAGACGTCTTAATAATCGTACTTCATGGTGTGGCGGATTGCGTGGAACGCCCCGTTCTGAGCCCTTGTGTTTTGGGAAATCATCACCGCGCGTCAATGTGCACGAGCAAACGCACGTTCCCATTGTGCTATGCCTATATTCTTCCCGGAAGTGCGAGCAATAAGTTGACCAAGTGTTATCGCAATCGGAAGAATCGGCACGTCAGCGCATTAAGTACGATCTAACAAACTATATATTACGTGCGTGAAGGACGAGACACAATGTGAATAAACAGTAAACAAATTGATTTTTTGTGGTATTTGTGGACACGAAGTAATTTCAATTTTTCTGTGGAGTGGGAATGTGAACGTGATCGATATCAGTTACACGAGAAAGTATGTGCTATTTTAATTGCTGTATGCCATTTTCGTTCTGTGCAGGAGGAGTTGGAGCCGCCAGAAGTCGTGTTTGTTGAGCCAACGGAGGAGCAAGGCGCAGCCCCCTGTATTGACGAAACAAAGGTACGGGTGTGATAATCCATTTATGGGACGATATTTGAATACGAGGGCAGGATCGGCGGTGGACGTAAAGTCTGAGTGGATAGTTGACCCGAGTGGGGATTCCCCGCCGTTTTCTCATCTCCCACCGAAAATGTATTAGAATGGGAAATACAATCAGGATTTTTTTTACAGATTGTCATGTTTTCGTTAAATTGTTATCACATTTACTGTATGTAACTTCAGTTAAGTTCATTTTTTCAATGCAAATACAGCTCTGCGCTTCACATTTGAAATAAACTCATTTAACAATTTTTTTCACTTCGATTTTGTTGGCTATGTATCTATAAACATGTAAAATCGCAGTTCTTTTGAGCCGATCGCCAACATTTGTAGTTCGCATATACTTTGAGTCGATGCAGTACTTTTAGAGGTTGTTCAATTGAGTAGGATCCAGGAATCGTGTCCAGCAGGCGAACAAAACGTACGAACACTGGGATAAGTCCTCTTGTGCATTCCCACTTTTGGAGATAATCTACTTCCCCCAAATTCCCCCGATTCATTGTGTCTCTTCACAAGTTTCACCTCCGAGCACTCAGCAATTTTTCTCTATGGAAATTATTCACATAAAACTACAATTTTATCGATGTCAGTGGGCTGACCGAAAGTGAGTCCTTTCAACGATTTAAAAAATTGTGCCGATTCGTTATCTGATAGACTTTTTAAGGACACGAGTAGTTGCTCGAAAACTATAAAATATGATTTCCTGAAGAAATCTTCGGGTGTTAAATTGTAGTTCTCCGTCCTGGGTCAAGGCGTTTAGGAACTTTTGTCTGACGCGAACTTCAGGTTCGACTTCAACAGCTTCGAGTCAAATCTCCAGAATTTTTAATCGCGAAAAGCGTCCAATTCAGTGACTACTACAATATTTTCATATGAATTTACAACGCATAAACATGACTTCTGGAGTTTCTTGTTTAATATTTCTACGCGAAAATTTGTCATCATGGTTAGGTAAATGTGTACTGAAACGACTCCATATAATCGTAGAACTCTATTACATTCCCCGAGAGGGCACTAATGACCTTGTTAGCGGAACGATTGTAGAGAAACTGCATCAACTGCGCATAATTTGCCCCTACTGTCTTCAAATATTCGATGCGCACTACCCCTCTGTAAAATGAAAATAATTGTGTGTAATTCCCACGATAATTTGATAATTTTTTTTATAGATAATAGATACCTGGTCGGCCAGTAGGTTGCAAGAGAAGGAAACTCGTCACTCTCCTTTGTTGCTTCAGACTGCAAGTCCTTGAACTGAGCTACGCGCTTTGGCGAGTCTAATAAAGTTGATCGAATATTTTCTCAATTAATTTTCTTGTTTATGCATTTTTTTTCAATTCCATCCTTGACAGCGAGATTGAGGTTATGGGAATGAATGCCCAAATGACACTGTAAACCTAAGATTCTGCCGGAGACTTTTGATGCCGAATCATAACATTGGCATGAGTTTTTGAATTGACAACTTATGTATGACGAAAACATCGTTGACTAGCTCCAATACGGTTTCCGCTTTCGTGTTTGGCGTTAAAGAAGTCAATAAATTATTATTTTGCTGTTAAATTTTCGGAAATGATTCTGAGACAAAAAGAGACTTGCTGTTTGGACAACGTTGGAAGTTTCATCTAATGAAATCGAAAATTATTCAGATTTTTTGATCTCTTCCATTATTTCTAGAGTCGTGGCCATCAGCTCGAGAATTTTAGTTTGAGAATCCTGATCGAGTCATCCACAACCATCTACTGGCAACCACGATTTCAATTGAACCGTCAAGTCTTCTACTCGAGCTTTTAAGAACGCCATTAAGTTGGAATTATCATCGTTGTTGACCGTCTCGCCAGTCTTTCAACGTACTGAAGGTTATCAACAAGGCCGCTCTGTTATTCAACATTTGCTTACATTGGACCGTGGAAATGAATTGTAGAACGTTGGTATTTTCAACGCTTCTTAGGGCTTCGATGGAATCAATGTGAAGAGAACTTGTCGCGTGAGTCTTCATCCGCTCTGCTGCGAGCGTCCGTTTCGAAGATCCGTCGTCAACGCAGTCAGTTTCGATTTGACGGCACGCGCGTCGAACTCAATGAATAATTTTCGCTCCCAAGCTTCGCCGCAAATAGTGCAAATGCCGTCATTGTTTCTGTTCGATTGAAACCAAGGATTAAGTTGTTTCCAGGTTTTCCTAATTGCGGGGGTACCGATGATCTCTTTACAGCAGCTCTAAAGAAGAAAACATGCATATGACGCCTATTTCCTAAATTATTGCGCAGGTTTTATTTACATAGTTTGTACGTTAATATAACATTTAACGACCTATTTATCAGGCAAAATAATTTTTATTTAAACGGCGTTGTTTACTCTCCTTTCTACATTCTCGCTACGCAGTAGAGAGAAAAGTACGTAATGCTGCGCGAAAAAACTGAGAATTTTTGACATAAAAAGTTATTATAGTGCTCGGCAACGAAAAAGTGGATAAATTCAGTTGTCGAATTCAGAAAAAAGTCTTCTTACACGTGGTGTAGTCAGAATCCATGTTTTGTGGGTCCTTGATACCGAAAAATTGATTAACGGCAAAACGTCTGTCTGTGAACAACGCTAGTGGCTAAACCTTTGTCTATTTTATCCAAAATTGTTATTCCCCAATCGACGTGGCTGATATCGCGGCTCTTTGAATTGAAACCGATATTTTAATTTTGGGGGGTACTTTACATTACATTACCTGTTTTCTATTATATTTTTTGAAAGTGTAAAACACGTTTAAGAGTACGTTGTAGAGCTCAAGTTCGTTAAAATCCCTGATTTTTCCAAAATTGCAAAGGTTCAAAACTTTTCAGCGTCTTCCTACAACTAAAATATGTACAAGATGTTTCCCTTAATGAAATCTGCTCCTTAAAGATTCCTTTTGAAATAAGGTCATGTACATATTTTCGAAAATTTGAGTACTTTTTGCGTAATTTTGCATAAAAATATGGACGGGAAAGCACGTGTTGTTTTATCCCCACTAGTTTTCTGTTCTTCAAACATATTTCGCATGGTCTTAATCTTGTATCGGCTAATTCCTGTATAGCTTTTTAAACTTCTAGAAGTGGAAATTTCCTATTAAAGTCTTCTCTTTCCTCCTCGCTCTTCTCTTTTCTCCTCGCTCTTCTCTTTCCTCCTCGCTCTTCTCTTTCCTCCTCGCTCTTCTCTTTCCTCCTCGCTCTTCTCTTTCCTCCTTTCTCTTCTCTTTCCTCCTTTCTCTTCTCTTTCCTCCTTTCTCTTTCTTTCCTCCTAGCTCTTTCTTTCCTCCTAGCTCTTTCTTTCCTCCTTTCTCTTTCTTTCCTCATCTCCTCCTCTCTCCTATCTCCTCCTCTCTCTCCTCTCTCCTCCTCTCCTCTCTCCTCCTCTCTCTCTCCTCCTCTCTCCTCTCTCCTCCCCTCTCTCCTTCTCCTCCTCTCTCTGTCCTCCTCTGTGCTCTCTCTCTGTCCTCCTCTGTGCTCTCTCTCGCTGTCCTCCTCTGTGCTCTCTCTCGCTGTCCTCCTCTGTGCTCTCTCTCGCTGTCCTCCTCTCGCCTCCTCTCTCCTCTCTCTGTCCTCATTCTCCTCCATTGTTGCATGCATGTGATCAATGACAATTTTACGTGTTATTTGGAATTCCGCCAACCTCTTTTTTTAACAGTAAACTGGAAGGGGTGCACGAGCTGTGTTACCAAGTGCCCACAAAACATGAACGCCAACAATCTATTGGTTTTGAATGTTAGATATGTTAATGGCTAACAATGAAATAACTTTTCACTTTCTCGACTTTCCGTAGGTAGAGCAAGTTAGTAATCGTGCGTTGGAAATCGGCAAATTTTCGGCAGAAACAATCTCGTTGCTGGGCCCCGGTGACGAAAGGTGAATAAATCCTGTTTCTATATATAGAAAGAAATCCTGTGACACAGAGTTTCCATGTTTTTTGGGTCCTTGATACCGAAAAATCGTTTGATGGAAAAACGCGTGCCTGTCTGTGGTCAACGCTAGCGCGTAAACAGGTGGGCCGATTTTCTTCAAAGCTGGTATTCCTCGATCTCGACCGGTGTGAATGAACTCGAGGGAGTTGGGAGTTTCAAACGGATATTTTGATTTGTAAAAGTACTTTTCATCAAGCTTCAGAAACCATTGAACGACGTCTAAGAGTAAGTCTAGTGGTGCAGGTCTCAAGTCAAAAATTATTTCTTAGAGATCTCATGTTGCATGCAGAGATTTGTTGCCTGTGGGAGTCGCAAAAAGTATGTATGCCACTGAAATAATAATAATAATAATAATAATAATAACAACAAATATAAAGGAAGAGGACGTTGTGTACAAAATATTTGTACTTGTAACTCTAAAAGGATTTGATTTTGAAGTCGTGGCTTCTGGAATTTTAACCGATATTTTGATTGGGTGGGGGGTGCTTTACGTAAATACCCTAGGGCATTTTCCAAATTTTTAAGAAAATGTCCCCCTTGTTTTTGATTAAATTTTGTTGTTGGGTAGTGTAAAGAAAGTTTAAAAGAATGGTATAGGTCTCAGGTTTGTTGAAAACCCTGATTTTTCAAAAATAGTAAAAGTTTAAAATTTTCTCGGCGTCTTCCTACAAATGCAACTATGAAGATAAATTTTTTCCTTGGTGAAATCTGTTACTTAAAGATTGATTTTGAAATAAGGTCTTGTACAATTCTTCGAAAATTTCAGTACTTTGCACGTAGTTCTGCGTGAAATACGGACGAGAAAGTATACGCTGTTTTAGCTCCATTAGTTTTCCATGTTATTGCACCGCAAATACCACTCAGTGCAATTCCGTAGCTCACCTAGTTATATGCGTAGTTTTATTTATTCTAGGGAAAAAAATTGCAGTAATTTTTAGAAAAATTTAATTTGTCTCGGCTACATGCAATGAACCCCAAAATATTGGGAGCTTTATTTCAAATTCGAGATTATTTGAGTCGAGCCAGACTCATCGAG